TTTAAGGAGGAGAGGTTGGCGAAGATGGTAGGGGTTTATCTTGAAGACGTGGTTCCATAACTTCACAAGCCAATTGAAGTATGAGGATTTAAATGTTTTGGATTTACAGAAAGGAACTTCGAGTGCGATAGAAGGATTTCGATTAAGCCGTGTTCGGCCATCGTTGACCAACGAAAGGAAGCTATATACGTCAAGATGAATATGGCCATACAGCTCCTTGAAAAAGAATACTACTTTTTTTTTACTCTCTCATAGCACAGGGGTAGGATTTCTCGTACTTACTTTGACAGGTATATTTCTATCTCCAACCAATTTGTACCAAGCACTGTCACCATTCTCTTCTTCACTCTCATACTCCATACATTTCTCCCAAACTTTACGTGGTGGATTTAATCTCACCCAAAACCAAGCTGATGCATGTTTTGTTATTGTGCCACCATTTATTGATTGGCATTCTTTAAGGCAGTAAACATTCGTACCACCGGATGGCCCATAACAAGCACAACACTAAAACCAATATGATGTTCACATAGTAGGGGAGAGAGCCAAAACATAGTCCTTCGACACATTCCCATATAATTGTGTACGTGCGAATATTTTACCCAATACATGTAGCGTAGGAAACACAAAATTGTGATAAGTACAAGTTTCAGAGGTTTTCACAAGTCCGGGCAATGAATTTACCATTCCACATGTTAGATTGGATTTAAAACTGAACCGAACCAGAAGTATCTATCCCACAAAATCGCATGAAATGCATGGCTTCCAGCGGATAACTATACCTGGTAACGAGATTCACTAAACAGCTGTCTTATATATTTCCATATTAATGACGTAAATACAATGTACGTTATTCGAACAGGCCAATTTTTCACGCGTAATAACAATAAAATTTAACATGCGTGTAACTGATCAAATTTTAATTAGCAAGCGGTGGTAAGTCATAAGCAAGCGTCAATAAAGCTAAGAACCGGTTATGGTTTATAATATTCAACCAGACAAGCGAAGTAGTATCCACCTCACGGGTAAATCCTGGCATTTCCACTGATATACCCGCTGTTTAAAATCACCAAAGAGTAATTAATTGCGTACATCAGCATCTTGTCTTGAAACAAATCTTTGCAACAATATTGTAGATGCTATGTTAGCTGCTTAATTTAAGCGAAGTCATATTACTGTAGGTGAATAAGCAAAGTCATAAAACTCCTTCCCTACCTTTATGCCTACATAGAAACCATTATTGTATTTTCTTGTTCTTGTTGTATTTTGCATTTCGATCGCTTAAGACGCATTAAAATTTAGACGGTCAACAATTTATTGTTCCACTCAATTAAACACACCTGATGATGTTAAGTGAATGTTTAGCCATCAAAATTTGTGCTGAATGTTAATTATTAATACTCATACCTTTCCTTTATCACAGCCAAAGAATGCCGTCGCGCCATTGCTGCTTTTTGAACTATTTGTTACGATAGCAAAACTAAAAGTTTAGGGAAACTTACACAAATATATAAAACAATGAAAGAGTCATTTCTTCGAAAGGATCGAATTAGATTTTGCCTTTTGCCTGATTCTTTACACACTTTAGTAAAGAAAAATGTGACCTTGTTATTTTCCATTCCTAAATGTCTGCCATGTCTCTCTGTCTCTCTTATGGACGAAGTTAAAACCCATTCACATGCAAAGTTCTATTGATCATTTTCTCATTTCATAACTTATGGGAAAGCAAGTCAAAAAACATAAAACATTTTCACAGACCAGAAATGCTCATACTTATTTCATGGAATACAAAGTGTCAAAGGATAATATCGAAACGCTTAAAACAATAGAATAACAACATCTAATACGTGTCTAGCTTTCACTTGTCACTTTTTATGACCTACCTAAATCCTCCCGAGAAATCAACTTGGATTGGGTATAAGTGATGATAAGCAAATCCACTTGTACATGGTTTTTCCAAACACAAATTCATCATGGTCTATTTAAATTCACATAATTAAGTTTAGTTACATTGCTTCCAAACGATAAACATGTAACATATATTACTCAGCACACTCCCTTATCAGGGTTTTTTCAGAGACTGGTTACATTCATACTGGTTAAGTTCATTTGATTTTCCAAAATCCCAAAATATACGGCTTCTTAATTTAAAAAAGTGAATGTTCAAAAAACAGAAGGCTGCAGTAATTATATAGCTTTTCGTGCACATATCCTGACAACTGATTGAAAACAATACATGCAGGAATGAGCGGCCGCCGACAAGAAAACAAAAAATTGCTTTGAAAAGGAAAAACATGCCATCCCAGGTTAAAACATGCATAGAGACGAACGCGTGGACATGTCCATTTCAGGTCCTCCTAGACGGTCGCGTCGTGTTTTCTAATTCTATCTAGAAGATAAAATATTTTTAAAAATATTATTTTTCTTACCCAACCAATTTTTGCAATAGGATGAGAATATGGTCCAAATTTTGAACATGAAAAATCCCTGGAGACAATTTCCTCCGTCATCAAATCTTTGACATAAGATATATCTCCAACACCTGGAAAGTTGTAAGGGCATCCACCTTGGTCGAGGATCATCAAGTTTTTTAACAGCCGTTTGTTCTTAAAACGAAATGCCCTAAAATGAATTGAATGTTGTAAAAGATTGGGACACATGCTACTAAAAGCCGACTGAGCATAAGCCCCCCCCCCCTCTCCATAAAGTTCAGGACCTCGCAGTAGCGCATTAAGCAGTATATTCGCGCCTATTGTCTACAGTGTAATCGATTAAGATCGCTAAGAACACTATATCTTTCACCTTCTGTCATATACTATGACAAGAGGTTTGGGTTTACGAGACCACATGTTTGAAAAAAACTTGGCACGCACTCAAATGACAAACCATTTATGAACCATTACTGTAGATACAGTATAGAAGGGTGATTCGTAAAATTTTACAATACATAAAATCGAAAATATACTATATCAGTGATGGATAGGCTGGGGGGAGGGCCTATCATAGGGGCGGGCAAAGGGGGCAATTTGCGACGGGCCCGGACTTTAAGGGGGCCCAAAAATTTGAAAAATAGAAAAAAAAATTAAATTGGATCGTTTTTTAATATAAGTAATGGTATGAGAAGAAAATTCTAGACCTAAATTTTACAGATATTGGTCCGAAAAATGGTTTTTACCCAATTTTTAAGAGGAATTATTCCTGAAAATTTTGTTTGAACCTTAATGTAAGTGATGTTTGTCCGAAAAATTATTTTGTCCCTTTTTAATGTCCGGAAAAAAATTTAACCCCTCCCCCCCGGCTCGCCAACATTTTTGGAAAAAATAAAATTTGCTCTGTGCCCCCGAAATTCTCTGATAGGCCCTGACTGGGGGTAGGGGTGAAGCGTGGTAGGGGTGGGGGTGAGGGGTGGGAGAGGTTTTCTCACAATAAAGAACCACAATATTAGAGACAAAATTTGATTAATAATTTGACGTGATGATAAGCGAACTGTAAGCAACAATTAAAATTAAAATAGCCTTGGCAAATAGCCAGAATACAGCAGTATGCTAATTGGCGAGCGGCGCACATGCATTACCGACACAACTCGTCAACTCAACTCCAAAGCTGGCAGAGCAGCACAGCCCGTCTTACCAGATCATGGTGGATCCACTCTTGATCTTTATTAACATATATTAGGGAGGTGGACAATGCTTTTCGAAGCAGTTGAATAATTGTTCTGTTACGGAAATACTTGCTCTATTCCGCTTCCAACTAAAGCGAAACGGCTTCCCCTTTCGTTCGCGTTACAGATGAACACATTTTTCTATTAACTGAGTAGTCTGAGCTCCAGTTTCACCAAAAACTACAAAGGCCACAAAGTTTGTTCGACGGCGCGCAAAACAATAAATTGCACACAAATAGCTTTGAATTATTTATGTACTATTTCTAAAGAATGAAATTTCTAACTAATAGCATACTGTTTTGCTAACAACTATTACGGAAACTATACAAATTGATTTCTTGCTCTATTCACCCACTCAATTCACCCGCTCTATTCACCCGCGATATTCACCCGCGAGATATTTTTAAGGAACTGAGATTTCAACTGCTAATATGTATTTGTTTGTGTTTTCACTTTATATACTATTAATTTCCAAGGGCAGAAAATAATGTTGAACAGTTTTCTTTATTCATAAAAAAGATTTACCAGTGAGCTTTTGTATTTTCAAAATCTTCATCTGATGCTATCTGTATTCTGAAATCCAGCACAGAGACATCCCCAAATTCACTGGACCAATGAGGATGTCCAAATGGTTCGACTGTTTTGTTACTTGAAGGAACGCTCCATGTCACTGTGTTATTCATGTGGCCAATCAATAGATACCCACCACCATCTGTTGACATGTCACAATATACCTAATATATTGAAAATTGATTGTGATAATATATGTAAGCATATTTACGAAACTTGAACAACATAGTACGGCATGATTGACATAGAATTAGGTTATTACATTATTATTCAGCTCTCTTCCCATTGAGGATTTTCAGTGACCGATTACATTAAGTATTACTCTCACTTATGTCGCTTACTTAACCTAGACTATATATTTATATTTACAATACAGAATGTAAGATGAAGAATATAGGATATTGAATATAGATGAAGTTAGTTGATAACCTAAGTTCTAAATGTTTGCTTAATAAAAATGGAAATTGTGGAGGACTTTAACTGAGACTAGTGTTAAAATGAATAAGATATTTCGTGACTCGATCATTGGTCGGCAATGGAACACAAAGGGGGTAATTACAGTACTGTCCAGAAATAACCTAACAAAAACCGCGGTTAACCTAGATCAGACCTAGGTCAGACCTAGGTCAGACCTAGGTCCAACCTAGGTCCAACCTCGGTGAAACCTCGGTGAAACCTAGGTCAGACCGAGGTCAGACCTCGGTTTGACCGACGTTAACCGCGGTTTGAGTGAGGTCTGACCGAGGTTTAACCGAGGTTGACAAAGTTTTGACCGCGTTTAACCGAAACAAAAACCGCGGTCGACCGTTGGCGAGACAGCACCGCAATTTGTTCGTCCCGTAATCGGAAATTAACGATCGTTTCCGAATTTTCGATTAAGCGTCTATTTTGATTTTTCGAAGTTGTCGGTCGCTTACAAATTTCGAGACAAATTTTTGTTTTAAAATGCCGAAATTGTCCGCGTATGCTCGAGAGAGAGTTATTAACCTGTATTCCTCAGGAGAAAGCGTAACTAAGATAACAAAATTACTGCAAGGGGAAGGAATAAAAGCTTCGAGATCAGCAGTGAGCTCTTTTCTGTCTCGATATCGACGAACTGGCAGCATTCAAGATGCGAAGAGAAGTGGCAGAAAAACAAAATTAAGCAATGACCATGTCAAATTCATTGACGATAGAATGAAAGAAAACGACGAGCTTACATCGGCAGAGTTGACAGAAAAATTGTCGAAGGAATGCCATGTCGAAGTGTCCGCAACCACTATTCGTCGGGTCAAACGAAATGTACTTGGTTGGAAAAGCGAAACTGCTCGTTATTGCCAATTTGTCCGCGAACCAAATAAGATGAAAAGATTTATATTCGCTTCCAATGCTTTGCTCAACAAGGACACGTTTGAAGACGTGATATTTACCGACGAGACAACTGTTCAAATTGAACAGTATGCCAGGATATGCTTCCGAAAAGATGGCAGTCAACCCAAACGAAAAGGACGCCCGAAGCACCCTCTGAAGGTATGTAAACATTTTTCAAGTATAAAAGTATATTATGTAGCATGGATCATTTAGTTATTTCCCTTCCCCTCTGAATGCAAGAAATATACTGGCCTGTGTCAATATGAAGAAATACAGGTCACCGCCATGCTAACCTGAAATTCAGGCCCTAATTTAGAATAGGGCCTGACACAAAACCTGTCTAAACCGTGGACGCCCACATGTTATTTTTAGACACAGTCATACAATATGATTGACAAGTGTTGTAGATTTCATTGCACGAAAATAAATACGAAAAATATAAAGATATTCATTTCATGTTGGATTATTTGTTTTTATATTCTCATGAAAATGTTCGCAGAGTGTGCATTTTGATTTTTAAACTTAAAAATTCAAGGTACTTTTAAGAGTTCAGTTTCTCTATTTATTAATCTAACCGAACAGCAAACAAAGATTTAGTCAGGTCTGTGCAAGGACTGAATGCAAATAGTTTTGTTCTCTGCGATCTACTTTCCGCAATATAGCTCAGATATTCAACGCCGATAGGACCTGATAATAAGACTTTCACCGAAGCCAGTTGGCAGAATGGCAAAGACATCTTGGGCCTTGGCTGTCAACAACAAATTTTTAGTAATTTCGCTGCAGCATAGAAAACGATTTTCCTTTAGTTTGAGTAAGAACTGAAATATTTTGACAGGAACTAAAAGTTTCGATCACATTGAGTTCAAACTCAAAGAGTTCCTGCTCCATAAACCGGCAGTATTTTCTCAAATTTCTGTATCTTCACTCTTTTAACAAACTACAAATAAACCCATGCCATATTTATACCCAATATATGCCATTGAACCATATAATAACCGTGGAGTATTTGTTCTTTAAATTATAGGTGCATGTATGGGGAGGAATTTCAAATCGAGGTGCAACTTCTGTTTGCATTTTTACTGGAATTATGGAAAGCATTGGGTATCAAACTATCCTGGAAAGAAATTTACTTCCATTTATAAAAAAGACCTACCCTGATGGCCATAGATTATGGCAGGACAATGACCCAAAGCACACAAGTAATTCTACAAAAGATTGGTTTATACGAAACGGAATTAACCATTGGAAAGCACCACCTGAGTCACCAGTAAGT